ACACGCGTCCTTGCGGGACCCACGTAAACGGCTTTTTCATTTATTTTTATTAATATTCACCCTCGAACTCGAGCTTCTCTAAATAAATGATCGGAATTCGAAATAGTAAATCAACGCGACAAACGACTTCTTCTCTTCTCGTGCTTTCTCGAAAGCACTTTTCGTTAATGCTCGACTCACTTATCGAAGCCGACGGAACACCGCAAGGTCGCCTCATTAAATAAGCTAATATATATAGCAATCTACTCCCACGGGAATTCAACTTTCTCTAATTAAATGCTCGGAACTCCAAAACACTCGATAAATGTCCCGCATAACATCGTGCCTGAATTATCTACACGTCCCAACTCGATTCTTGGTAAACCGAAGTCACACGCGTCCTTGCGGGACCCACGTAAACGACTTTTTCATTTATTTTTATTAATATGCACCCTTGAACTCGAGCTTCTCTAAATAAATGATCGGAACCTCGAAATAGTAAATCAACGCGACAAACGACTTCTTCTCTTCTCGTGCTTTCTCGAAAGCACTTTTCGTTAATGCTCGACTCACTTATCGAAGCCGACGGAACACCGCAAGGTCGCCTCATTATATAAGTTAATATATTGCAAAAAATAAAGAAAATTAAATATAAATAATAAATTTTATTTGTAAAACGTATTTTCATAATACGTTTTACAATTAATTCATTGTCAAACGTATTACGGAAATACGTTTTACAATTAAATCTAAATTATTCATTACATTTAATTGTAAAACGTATTTTGAAAATACGTTTTAGAATTAAATATAATAAATAAAATTAATTTTATTTATAAAACGTATTTTCATAATACGTTTTAAAATAAAAACGTATTCCGAGAATACGTTTTACAATGTAAAACGTATTCCCAGAATACGCCTGTTTCATTTTGGTCTACTCGTTTTTTTTTTGTTTTAATTTTGTCCAGTTATTTTTTTTATTTTTGATTTAAATAAATAATTCCATTTGACATATTTTCAAAGAATTTAATTGGGAGACAAATTAGCTAACATATCATTTCGCTGTCCTCGATGCTTGAGGGCACATTGGATCCTACCATTTACATTTATTGATCAATAAAAAATAAGGAACCCAAAAACAAAACTTCTAATAAATATATATATGTATAATGTTTATATTTGCCTAAAAGTTCAAATAATAATTAAGTATATAATTTAACTAGAGAAATCAGTATTTGAAAAAAAAAAAAAAAAAAAAAAATCTAGTGATATCACCTAAAATTTGTCGAATATACCCCACTTCCAACTTGTATGTACTAAGATTTTCATCATTGAGCTTGTTAAGTGCTTGTTTATTATTTTTGTATTTTAGAAATATGATATAATTAATAATAATTGTAATTTGGCACATGCGTTTTATGTTTTGATCATTGATATAATTTTAAAATAGATTGGACAAGTCTAAGGTATCTCGCTTTATATATGTGGATATTGTAGGATCGAGGATTTATTCTATTTAGTATTAGTATTTTTATTTTCTTTGTGTATTTTAATCTGTTATGTTTAGAATATGAGGGTTTATTCTATTTAGTATTTTTATTTTCTTTGTGTATTTCATTCTATTATATTTTGTATTTGTTTGTTTTGTGTTGAATGTTATATTTTTCCTTGTTGGAGTTTGGTGTTTTATGAGTTTGATAGTTTTTTTTTTTTTTCTTCTTTATTTTAGTTATTTTGTTGTTTTTGTGTTATGGATTTTAGGCCGTCACTTATGTTATGTTTGGTAAAACTAGCTGATAAACTAGTTTAAGTTGCTATATCGGCTAATTTTATAGCTTATAGCGGTTTTCGAACTTATAACTTATAGTTTATGGCTTATATTTTAAAAACTAGCTTATATGATAAAAGTGTTTAGTAAAATTAGTTGATAAACTAGTTGAAATAAAAATTTCAACAAGCTTATTTGAAAAGCTACCTAAAAAAGCTTATGATATAAGCTCAAACTTTTTCAAAAAGTTCATCCTATCAAACGAAACTTATTTGAATATAGGAAACTTATAAGCTAACCAAATAAGCTATAAGCTAGCTTATAGTTTATTTGATTACCAAATATAGCCTTAGCAGCTATACTAGACCTGACCACCTTTATGATCGTCTCTGCCGCTGGAAACTTTGCCGGAGAAGTTGTTATGGGAAGCTATCAGGAATGGCAGGAATTTCATGAAAGGGAGCACCACGCCGATGACATGAAGCAGAAACAAACGACCGGAAATCCACAAGATAGTTTGTAGAACACACATGGAGCTGTCGTACGTTGCCATCTTGTTGTCGGGTAAATTTATGTGGAACCTTCACATCAGCTGCCGAATACCGAGTGGGAACCTCCATCTATGGCGACATGTACGTCGTCTGACCACTAGGAGGCCACATGGGGTGCCTAAGGATATCTCTACACGACCAATTCCAAAAATGAAGTTTTGGAGCCTAGGTATCACATCGGTCGTGTGAAGTCGGCACAAGTCGTGTCGATCTGAATGGGTCCGAACATGCTCTCGACTTTTCCACATGAGTCGTGTGGGACTCAGTGCGATAAAAAAGATTTTATGGCTTTTTCTTATTTTTTACGTATTCTCCGATCTATTTTGATTAGGACTCTAAGAACACTAGGGCACGAATCATGTAGAGTTTTTCAGACTTTCGGAGACTTTTGGAGGCTAGCAACATGCGCAAGATGAGCGAGAAAGTCGGGAAGGAGAGATCGGCGAAGCCGAATAGGCTTTATCTTTCTTTTTCTTTTTGCTTTTCGAACTCAATGTTTTTATATTTATATTTCTGATTTTTAAAGCAGGTCTCTAGGCTAATTTCATCTTAGATCATATGATTTGCGAGTCTTTAGATCATTTTATGAAGTAATTTTGGTTATTCATTATGGTCTATATTTTGTTTATCAATTTCTCGTGTTTATCATAATTGTGTGAATATAAAGCCCATACGCATATTTGTGATTGACTTGAGATCGAGAGGAGATAATTGATCGTTTATTTTTTGATAGTTAATTATTTTAACGACAAACTCTGTAGAATACGACCTTGCTCGCTGCTTGCTATAGCTACACCGTACACTTGCGGATAGTGGAAATATTTTACGAACAAGTTTTTGGCCCACCAAGCGAAATAATTTAACGATGGGTTGCCTTCCACCAAACGCTTATTTTAACGTCTTTAGCTAGACGTCTTCCATGCTCTTAAAATGGGTCATTTCCATTTATCCCCACCACATCCTCCATCCCGACCACGGTGCGACCACATTCGTCATCATGTTGCTTGTATTTATAGAATATGTTTTCATATTATTTTCCTTTTATTTTTAATTATCGAACTGTCGGTTCAGGGTTGAACTGACGGTTCATACGGTTCAAATGAATTATGATTGTTGGATCTCAACAGTCAGATTAATCCAACAATCGGTTTTTAGAGGATACTACTTTGGATATGATCCCGAACCAGCCTGATAAGGTTAAGTACCTTTTTTTTCACTACCTACAAAATAAATCTATCTCAACTTATAATGAACCTACACCTAGTTTCAAATAATAAATTAATACTACTATATTTTAAAGAAACATGATAATGAAATAATGTAATTTATATTTAAGAAAAATGAAAATTTGCCACTAAACCTGCCTAGCCACCGCCGAGTTTTTCTAAGAGTGCCTAGACCCGCCTAATCGCTACCTGACCGATTTTTTTTTCGATTCATGCAAATTATAGGCGAACGAGTGGCGTCCAACGCTTAAAGTCGATTTTTAATAAAGTGCTATTTTTGTCATCTAAAGAAGAAAAAAAAAAAAGTAAAAAGAACATACACGAGGACAATTGCATCCATTCAGCAGCCTTGTGGTTTATGGCCCCTCATTAATTACGTCACTTCCTAATATAATTACGAGCTGTCCAAAAAAAATGACCAGAATTTAGTACTTTCTCTTCTTTCAAAATTTTAATTTTGAAAATAATAAACCACTAACGACTAATCAACCGTTGTAGTTTTACTGTCTTCTAGTTGATTTCCATAACAAAACCAAAATTCATCCCAAAATTGAATTGTAAAGTCAAAAGGAAATATGAAAGAAGTACACAAAAATAGCAAAAAGTATAGCCGGAATCAGGGTAAGAATAGCCGGAATCTCGCCCGCGTCGGAGCCACATTGTTAGACATACTTTCCCTTGTTTCTCTTTTTTCTTTATATTTTGTTTGGTTATTCTTGCTGTTGGGGTGTAATTTTCTTTCGCGGTTCGGTGCAAAACCGCAATGAGGTCCATTTCTTGTAGTAGGTGTTTTTGTAAATAGTAATAAAGCAAGAGGATGATAAATAATCATCTAAAAAAAGAAAAAAAAAGTGAAAACTGAAAAAACAAAACCAACCCCTTAAACATGAAGGCCTGAAAATAGCTTCTATAAGACTCTCTCTCTCTCTCTCTCTCTCCATCTTCACATTTTCCTCTCTTTCCTTTACCTTTCTTTTGCATTAATCCATACCTGCATTTTCTAAGCTAAGTGACCCAAAAAAACCCAAAATTAAATAAATAAATAAATAAATATAGCTTTGAATTTTTCAATTTTATTTTGATATAAAAAAAGGGATTGATCAGCCTGTGTTGTGCTCATTTCTTGAGGCCCTTTAAAGGGTTTTTGAGTTCGAGTTCATATAAAAGGGTCACATTTTGATATATATATATATATAGTTACCAAACAGATCCCCATTTTATCTCTGAACCTTCAAAACCTTCCCCTGTTTTCCTCTGTTTCTTGCAAAATCCCCTGTTTTTTTAACAGAGGATTTTGGTTTTCTGTACATTTTCTTTCTCTTTTTTTCAAAATTTTCGATAAAAAATGAACCAGCTTTCATCCACGAGCCTTCTTCCCGAAAGCTTTTCGGGTGCTCGGGACGATTTTACCGAGCAATTTAGCGTCGTATGGGGCCAAATCAAGGCCCCATTAATCGTGCCATTGCTTAAAGTTGCAGTCTTTTTGTGCTTGGCAATGTCGGCCATGCTTTTCGTCGAGAGGGTTTACATGGCGATCGTTATATGCCTCGTGAAAGTGTTCGGTAAAAAGCCCGAAAAACGGTACAAATGGGAGCCTCTGAAGGATGATTTGGAGATTGGAAACTCTGCATATCCAATGGTTCTTGTTCAAATCCCAATGTACAATGAAAAAGAGGTCTGTTTTTTTTTTTTAGTGTGTTTTCTTGAATTTTTTTTTTTTTTTCATTTCAAATTTGTGATTCAAGTTCTTGAAATTAAGGGCTATTTTTTATTTTTTTTTTGGTATATAGGTTTATCAGCTCTCAATTGGAGCTGCTTGTGGGCTTTCATGGCCTTCTGATAGAATCATAGTTCAGGTTCTTGATGACTCAACAGACCCCATAATCAAGGTAATATTATATTTTTGTGTGTGTGTGTGTGTAACATTTAAATTAAAAAATAAAAAAAGATTATGATTTTCTATATTAAAAATTTGTTATTTAACTATTTATGCAATCAAATTTTCTTGTTTTTTTTGTGTGCCTAAACAGAATATGGTGGAAATAGAGTGCCAAAGATGGGCTAGCAAAGGCATAAATATAAAGTATGAAGTTAGGAACAATAGAAATGGGTACAAAGCTGGGGCTCTTAAAGAGGGCCTTAAACACTCTTATGTGAAGCAATGTGATTATGTTGCTATATTCGATGCGGATTTTCAGCCCGAGCCCGATTTCCTCTGGCAAACGATACCGTTTCTAGTGCACAATCCGCAGCTGGCCCTCATCCAGGCCCGGTGGAAATTCGGTAATATTATTATTGTTGTTATTATTTTGCATCAAAAAGATTTTCCATTTGATTGCCTTAAGTTTTGGTCAGTATTATGTGAAGAACAGAACAATTTGGTTTTCACAATCACATGTTAATTAAGGGAAATGTTACGGTCCCGTTATGGTACCAACTCGTCGGATGTTTTAACCGTGTGATGCACATGTAGTTAGTATAAGATAGATGATCCAACGATTAAAACACCCGACGGGATACCGTAACCGGACCATAGCATTTCCTGTTAATTAATTAGTCCTAAGAAAGATTTTGTAGTTTTTATTTTATTAAGACTGTCGGTGGCCAATTTTGAAAGGGACTGTGTAACAACTATCCAACAGCACAAATCACTGCTTGATTTTTGGTTTTATTTTGCTTTTTTTTTTTTTTAATTAATATGCAAAATTTGTTGTTGTATCATTTATTATTTGTTTGAAAAATAAAAAAATAAAAAAATAAAAAATGATGCAAAATAGATGAAGACCATTGATGGAAAGTGATAATTTCCAGGTTTATTGTGCTGTTGTGTGAAAAAAGTTATTTTGTCTATACTCTACAAATGAATAAATAAATAAATAAATAAATAAAAGTGAAAGAAAGCTAGTGTGTGGCTATTGATAAAAGGTGATTCCAAAGACTTTGGTTTTCTTGACAGGCACTTCATGGCTGGTGGTGGATTGACTTTATTGTCCTTGTACCCTTTTGTCAAAAAAAATAATAATAATAATAATAATAATTGTCTTCCAATAAAATATACACTATGTTAGGTAAGTATCATAAGTTACTTATATTTATAATTTATTTAGTTAACTTATAAGTTTCATGTATCTTGGATACGGTTGCTTTATGACGAGATCTTTTAGAAAACTAGAGCTTATCTTATAAGTTCCGTTGGGTAGCATTTCGAAGAAGCCCGTTTCAGTTCGCTTATCAATTAATTCTACCAAAATACTTTTATTTCATACAATCTAGCGTATCAATCATAAACCATAACATATCAGCTATAAGCCCGAAATTCAATTATAAGTTATCAGTTAAATTATCCGTTAGATTTACCAAACATAATCGTAGAGTATGCACAAAAGTTGTAGTATAGGATGAAATTTACCCTCGGTGCCACTTGGACAAGGGGTATTTTAGTCATTTTCTCACCTACCACTCAAAACCCAGCAATAGCATGTGCCTGAAGAAGAAGGCAGAATAAGAGTGGTGGACCGCAGCACTTCTGATTACTACTACTGTTTACTACCGACAGTGTTCATTTATTTTTTTGTGGCATTTATGCTTGCTTATTACCAAAAATATATATATATATATATATGTATTATTTAATACAAATTATAATTAAATAATATAAATTAATCAAGTTTTTTTTTTAATTATTATTATTATTATTTTTTTTTTTTCCAGTGAATGCAGATGAATGCCTGATGACAAGAATGCAGGAGATGTCACTTGACTATCATTTTACAGTAGAGCAAGAAGTTGGATCCTCTACATATGCTTTCTTTGGCTTTAATGGTATATAATAAATGATATTATTAAAACCAAAATAATTTATTGCATAATAATTTACTAACAATTGTTCAATAATTGGTGCTATTTAAGGAGTAGGGCCATGCCTCAATGTAGATGCCAATTTACTAAGCTAGTTAGAGATGTGCACCAATTAATACATATATTGATCGAGTCGACCGACACGTGTACAAAATGATGTCATAATTATATCCGGGGAGACTTGTTAAGTGAATTGAAGTAGCATAAGAGATTGAAAATGGAACGAAAATCGTCGTTAATCGCATAGTACTCGTCGAATTTGTTTGCCAATCGACGTTTTTGTGTTTCCACTAATGTGTCTTATAGAAAAATGCTTGATTGTACTATTAAAGAATGTGTTTAATTTGTCTATCTAAATACAAGTGAATTGTTAATAAATACAAGGAACTGCGGGTGTGTGGAGAATAGCAGCAATCGACGAGGCGGGAGGATGGAAAGACCGTACAACTGTTGAGGACATGGATTTGGCCGTTCGAGCCGGCCTCAAAGGATGGAAATTCTTGTATCTTGGTTCTTTAAAGGTAAAGAAAAAGGGAAAAAAAAAAGCTTTAATGCTTATTGTAAATTTGTAATCTAACTTGTAGAACAAGACTTTTTTTTTTGGTAATGTTTGTCGATGTTTTAACTCGTTCTTTAGGTGAAAAACGAACTGCCTAGCACGTTTAAGGCATACCGCTATCAACAACACCGATGGTCATGCGGGCCAGCAAATCTGTTTCGGAAAATGGTGGTGGAGATCATACGAAACAAGGTTCGTTTTTCCCGATAATTAACACAAACGATGAATGGAACTTCTTTAGTTTTACTTGTCGTTTTTTGACGATTTATTTTTTTTTAAAAAATTTTTACGCGTGGTTGTTTGCAGAAAGTGACTCTGTGGAAGAAAGTTCATGTGATATACAGTTTCTTCTTCATAAGGAAGATCATTGCCCATATAGTCACCTTCGTGTTCTACTGCGTTGTACTGCCTGCTACCGTGCTTGTACCCGAAGTTCAGATTCCGAAATGGGGAGCTATCTACATTCCTTCGATCATCACCCTCCTAAATGCAGTCGGGACTCCAAGGTAATTTCTTTTTTTTTTTTTTTTTTTT